ATATGATTTCACTCTTATGTGGAATTTAAGAACCAACTGAACAGGGGCACCTGGGTGGCTCAATAGGTTGAGCATCTGCCTTCGGCTCAGGTCATGATCCCAGAGTCCTGGGATGGAGCCCCGCATCGGGCTCCCTGCTCAGTGGGGAGCCTGCTTCTCCCTCTTCCTGCCGCTCCCCCCTGCTTGTGCTCATGCGCAGTCAATTAAAAATCTTTATATGTAAGAATAACCAAATTAACAAAGCAAACCAAGAAACAGATTCTTAAGAAAACCAACTGATGGTTTGTTCCCAGAAGGCAGATGGATGGGGGGGGGGGGTGAAATAGACGAAGATGAAGAGCACACTTGCCATGATGATCACTGAGGAAATGTACAGAACTGCTGAATCACTACAGTTTACGCCTGAAACTATAATAATACTGTATGTTAACTATACCGGAATAAAAATTAAAAAATAAAAGGCTTTATGATGCTTGAAGATATGAGAGTAAAAGACTGTAAAAATGCATAAAGGAATTGGCTATAAGAAGCAGTCCATTTCCGTGGTATTCCTTTTTACTTCATAGGCAAGTTATACATTATGCTGTAGTGTTTAACAGCTGCAAGTGGAAAAGCAGCCACTTAGGAAAGAAGTTGCAAAAAGTAAAAAAGGGGTATATGTAAAGGCAGGATTTCTTTTAGGTAAAATGGGCAGAAAAATAAAGTTTCAGGAAGAAAAGAAAAATTACTAAAGACTAGTTTGGTTTTTACTGAACTTAGAAATGAACTAATATGCGAGCTCCTTTCTTCAATCAAGGCCTTGGCCACCCTATTGGTTAGTCACCTTGGTCCTGTGATAGCCTCTATTCTTCCCGACAACCACGGTCTCGGATTTCAGGTCCACTTACCCTCTTCTTGGCTTCCGCTGCAAATGACGGGCTCTGTAGGAGCAGCAATCTTTGGGCCACTGCTGCTTAAGCTCATAGCCACTCACTCCTCTCTGGGAAACAGATTCCTTCTGTAGAGATTGTCAAGTTATCCATTGATTGTACATCTAGACAGAGATTTCTCTCCCAAACCTGGTGCTAACAACGTTGCCTGTTGGCTCTCTTGTTGTGAGCACCCAGCTGCGGGTAAACTGTGATCTGGTTTGTCATGGTTTACATCCTGGTATCATAAAGACACCTCCTAGCCCCATAAATATCTGCCTGGCTGATACGTTAGTTCCAATCTGTAAACCAATTACGCTTTTGCTAGCTTTTCATTTTCCTTCATCAAAAGGTCTCATTTTCCTGCATACTTAACTTCAATGTTAATGGTTGACGCAAATCCTTTTGTTTTAGCCAGACTTAAGAGTAGGGGTATGGCTCAAGGGCCAACTCTGGCTGGCTGTTTTGTAAATGAAGACTTACTGAAACCCAGCCGTGCTCACTTGTTTATTATCTATGCCTGCTTTGGGGTTACAATGGCAGAGCTGAGGAGTTGTGACAGACTGTATGGCCTGCAAAGTCTAGAATATTTACCATCTGGCCTTTTACAGGAAAGGTCTGCTGACCCCTATTCCAGAATCACCAGTATAGCTTAAACTGGATCATGTTTCCATTCAAAAAGATCATTTGCCTCAACAATATCACGTGGCTTTATACCTGCAGCAGATAGAATAATGGTCCCCAAAGATATGCATGTCCTAACCCTCAAAACCCATGAGGATTTATTTACCTTACATAGCAGAAGGGACTTTGCGGATGTGATTAAGGATATTGAGGTGACCTTATGCACATGGGCCCAATGTCATCAAAAGGATCCCCACGAGAGAGGCAGGAGGGTCACAGTTAGAATGAAGATGATGTGATGACGGAGACATTGGGAGACACTATTCTTTTGGCTTTGATGCTGGAGAAAGGGGCCATAAGCCAATGTAGGCAGCTTCTAGAAGCTGGAAAGGACAAGGAAATAGATTCTCTCCTGGAGCCTCCAGCAGGAACCAGCCCTCCTGACACGGTGACTCTAGCCCCGTGAGGCTGATTTTGAACTTTTGACCTCCAGAATTGTAAGATAATAAATTTGTGTTGTTTTAGGCCACAGATTGTAGTAATTTGTTGTAGCAACAGTGGGAAACATACACTACCCAAAGTCCAAGTAGCTCTGACAGAATTGCCAATATTCTCCAACTGAAGTTGGTTTAATAATTCATGATCTTCAATAAATCCTGTTGTTTGAATTTGTAGAGGACTATACCATCCTTTTAGCCCTGCTGAAAATGGGTTTCAATGCTCATGCCTGTCATCCCTTCTAGCAAACTGCGAAGGTCTTACTCAGCTTCATCATTTTTGGGAGGTTATCTTTTCTTGATCTCCGCTGAGAGGTTGTAGGAAGGTCCCTTGTTAAAGTGAGACATGGTAATTCCAATGACAAGAGGAGGCTGTGGATGGATCGGCAGTCCCTCTCAGCATCCCCGATCCTAACCTGAGGAGTGGCTGCCAGGGGAAAGGTTTGGAGCTGAACCTCGGGGTCTCAGGGACAGCTAGGCACAGCGCTACACAGGCAGTGCCTTATACCATGGTCTAGGTCTGCAGAGCATTCCCATGCGTCTCCCTGCTCCCAATCAACGTTTCCTGAATGAACAGCCCGCCATTGCCCTATCCAGAACATTCGCTCCCTCCCACCACGCTACCAGAACTTACCTCTGGGAAGACACTAAATTGGCTCCTTTCTCTTTGAGGGTCACCTCGGAGGGGTATGAAGGAATAGATAGCCCTATGTAACTTGCAAGGCCCCCAATTTGTTGTTGAACACTCCCTTCTTGATACAGGCAAAATACTATTAATCATCTTCAGTAACAACTGCAAGAAGATTCCAGTGGGCTGGGTGAGATAAAGCAAGAGCTCTGCTGTACCCAACAAACAGTAAACAGTGTAACAGTAAAAACTCCATCAGTACAATGTCTTAATAGGCAGAAGAGCTTAAAATCCCCAGTTGTACCAGCTGTGGCAACTAGAGAGAGGATTTAGAATGATGTGTATACATCTTGACGTTTCTTGGTCCTCTGGGCTAAGGTTCTCCACGTGAAACAACTGTGTTCTTCTAGGGCCGGTTTGTATTCCTGATCCTGAAACAAAACCCACATAAGCAGAGTCCTAGCTTTGCAACTAATTAAAACAGGGTGACACAAAATTCAACCCTTATTAGAACCATGTACTCCTAGAGTTCACACTGCACAAAAATTTACATGTGTCATCTTATTTGGTTCTCACAATAATCTTGAGATGAAAGCCAGAAATCTAGACTTTATAGATGGCTATCCCCACCACTGCTCCGTTCTCCTAGGACTCTTGGATAAAAGCACAACTGAACAGCTACTTCCAGGCAGGAAAGGGAGAAAATTCACAAGATGAAGCAACCAGACAAATCGGATTTAGAAATTTTCTTCAATAACATTTCCTTCTATTGTGTCTGAAACATCTGATACCCTTTCCTTCCATGGGTTTTGTAATTCTGACAGTAGAAAGTTCCATTTAAAAAATTGCCTTGGGGGCACCTGGGTGGCTCAGTTAAGCATCTACGTTCACCTCTTCAGCTCGGGTCATGATCTCAGGGTCCTGGGATCGAGTCCCACATCCGGCTCCATGCTTAGCAGGGAGTCTGCTTCTCCCTCTCCGTCTCTCTCTCTCTCAAGCAAGTAAATAAAATCTTTAAAAAAAAAAAAAAATTGCCTTGACAGATGGTTCTCAAACTTTGATGTACACACAAATCATATCAGGATCTTGAGCCCTGGGATGCCCGGGAGGGGCCTGCGTTTCCAGCAGCTCCCAGGTTATAGTTTTGCCACTGGGCTGAAGGCCACACTTGCAGGTGCAAGACAAGCAGACATCTAGTGTTTAAAACATAAACCCGCTCCCACCCCAGTGACCTCCCTTTTGCCAGTGATCCCATTTCTTCAATTTCATAGTATTTATAGGATGCTTTTTTCCACTCTCAAGCAATCTGATGCCCAAAGCAGTTAACTTTTTTCCAACTAATTAGATTTTCCTGCCTTTGATCTGTCCTTCCTCTCAATCATCCTGTTAACATTTAGCTTTCCTAAAACAGGCAATCCATTTAAGAACCTACCAGTTTCTTATTACCAGACTCATCAAATCTAAATTCCTTGACTTGGACCTCAAGGCTCGCCAATTTATTACTCTGCATCAGGCAGTGTTCTAGCACTCTCCACGTACTAACTCATTCAATCCATACAACAACCCACGGTGCTGGTGGTACGACTATCTCCTCTAGATGAGGAAGCTGAAGAATAGGTTGGGTAAGTTGCCCAAGTCACAAAGCTCGTAAGTGTCTGAAGCCAGACAGTCTGGCTCCAGAACAAGGTGGAAAGACTCAGCCAGAAAACCCGAGACCCAAGTTTCAATTCAGGATCCATCAAAAACTTGATGTGTGGCTCGAGGAAGTCACAATGTCACTAGATCCCATTGTCCTCGTCCATAAAATAAGAGTTGGCCTGGCTGATCGATAAATTTCTTTTCCTCAGAGTCCACCTATTCTGTCATGTTTTCTCCCCCTTCACAGTATCAGGCAGTTGCTTCACAGTCCCCCCCCCCGCCTCCCCACAACGGCCAGGGCTCCTGCTACTTCTCCCCCTCCCGATCTCACCCCCACCCAGCAGCTACTCCAGGCCTTGTTACTTCACCTCTAGGGCATCAGTTTCCACCTCTGTGGTACCAGCAAAGTACTTACCTTGTAGGGACTCCAGTTTAGAGCCTTCAGTTCTTCCGTTGTGCTAGGATTTTTATAGTATAAAACAGCTGAAGATACACAGGCAACCACCTGCAGCATAGGCATCTTTTGAGGGGACAGTCATTCTGTTGAAATTATATTTGACAAAATGAATTTTTGACTTGAATTTCTTCAGTTAGCCTCCCCTATTTTCTTACCATCGTTTTTGAATTGTCCAAAAGGTACCCTCAGAAATCCGATAAGGTTCAAGCTAAACACGTGGACGGAAATCAAGAAAACATACTCATGGCCCTTAGAAATGCCTTTATTTATAAAATAACTACTTAAATATAAACATCTCTAAATATAAACACTGTTCACAGGAGACTCGCGTTGCTGCCTTTTGACCAACCCGCAGACACACAGGGCTAAGGGGTCCCACAGGTGTCTCCCCGCTCATCAGGATTTTAAGACCAAAGGTGCACTTGAAGGAGCAGGGGCTGTAAGGTGTTCTTAATTCACTTTCTTAAGGCAAAATTCATAGTTTTCTATTCCAAGGTAGGCTTCATATCTGGGGAAGACCTTAAGAATAAGAGCCCTGCTTAAATAGAATTTTCAGGGGGAGATTCTTTGTGTAAGGATTAGCGAAGATCTTCCTGAGGCAAGAGGGAGGGACGAGCAGGCACTTTAGGATCTGTTTGGCTTAGACTACGGTCCCTGAAGCATGGAGGTTAGTAGTGAAACAGAAAATGCTGATTTCCAAGTCTTGGATAAGCTACCTCTGGGACTGCTTCTCACTCACACAATACACGAGCATTATGCTTTCTGCATCTGTGGACAGTAGTGTGGATGAAGGAGAAAGGCATCCCATCTTCCACCAGGCCAGATTGGTTTCAGCTTACTGTAGGGCGAGCTCTTTCCATGGGGTGGCTGGAGCTCTGATCTTGTTCTCCTAGGAAAAGCTATCAGTTATTGGGTTGCAGGTGAAGGGCCAGAAGACATCACACACGGACTCGATAAAGCAGAGGTGACTGTTAGAAAGGGGCAGAAGGTTGTAAACCTCAAAGGGAAGAGACCCATTCATAGAAAGACTGAAGGGAAGTAAAGACCCTAAACACTTTTAAAAAAGAGAACGCTATTGAATTTTGCCTAGCCGATCTGGAAATGCAATATTTGAAATAAATAAGATTACAGATGATAGTGTTTTAGGGACTTTTAGAAATTAGGGGTGGGTGTGTATGTGTGAATGTGTGCCAAACACTGAAGCGTTGAAACACCAGATTTGGTACATTCTCAACAAACTTCTTGCCACGTGCAGAGGCGCAGTCTAAAAGGGCTCCCAGAAAATTCTCTTCATCCAAGTCAGTTTCATGGAGCATGGGACTGCCCCAAACTCAGTATGGTACAACCCACGCCAACATCTTCTCATGCTGGAGCACAGCTTCCAGCATATATCCGATACTGGTCTTCCCATTGGAAATTTCTCATTTCCAAAGGCTGACCCAAGACTTGCCTTTCTTCTCATGGTCACAGAATCATTCACAAGCCCCAGGGTCCATTTAAAATTCTAGAAAGTCTAGTGAGCATCAAAGTTGACAACCCAATGTCAGGAAACAAGACTCATCCTGTGCCCTGTGCCGTGCCGTGGTTGGTTAAACAATGCAGACGGGGCCGGTGTCCCAGGAGCAGGTGCCCTCTTGGAGGGCCACCAGAACCCTTCAGCAGAAGGAAGTGAAGGCAGCAAGGTTAAACGGGAGAGGGAATAGGCTCAGGTATATTCAGTTTTGCGGATATAATTGGATGGAACATAGCCTTTCTTCCCATTAACTTCGGCTAACCACCACTCTGTATTTCCCGTAACATCTTTAAACTCCAGGATCTTGAGTCTCTGATTGGCTAACACACTCAGCTCATTTGGGTTCCGTGCCTTGAAGGTATAGACAGCAAAATAGACCTGTGGGAGGGAGAGAAAGTGAGTTGGGAAACAGGAAACTGCTTGGAGCAATACTGTCCAGCAGAACTTCCTATATGGTGATAGGAATGTTCTATGCCTGCGCTACCCAATATGGCAGCCTCTAGCCACATGTGGCTATCAAGCACTTGAAGTATGGCCAGGAAGAATGAGGCACTTAACTTTAACTTTTATTTAATTTTTTTTTAAGATTTTATTTATTTTTTGACAGAGAGAGACACAGCGAGAGAGGGAACACAAGCAGGGGGAGTAGGAGAGCGAGAAGCAGGCTTCCCGTGGAGCAGGGAGCCCCATGCGGGGCTTGATCCCAGGACGCTGGGATCATGACCTGAGCCGAAGGCAGACGCTTAACGACTGAGCCACCCAGGCGCCCCAAATTTTATTTAATTTTAACTAACTTAAATAGCTACATAGGGTTGGTGGCTACCATAATGAACAGGGCAGATTCAAAGAAAACCAAAATTCATATCCTTTTACTCTTTTCAGAGTTGCCTTAAAAAGTGGAAGAAGGAACCTTCAGTCAATATGGCAGACGGGTCATGTTCAGTGATTGGGAGGGGAAGCCATGAGGCCCATGGGGGCACAAGGATGAAAACAAACTCTTAGGACTTGGAGGAGTCAATGAAGCTAGAAGTGAGCTTTTTAAACAAAATCAGAATTAAAAAAAGAGCCATCTTCTCCTTCCACATGTCTAGAAAAAGTGTCCACTGATGGGAGCAGAACTTGGATGTCTGTCCTGGGCAGTGGGTAGTAACAGAATCACCAGAGGAACAGGCATGCCCTATGCTCATCTGTAGCTCTGAGGAATGTGGCACAGAGACTGAGCTGAGAAGCTCGTGTGAAAACTGGCCTTTTGGAATCCCGAGCTTGGCAGAGGCAAATACCTGCACAACCCAGGACATGTCTGAGTCTCTCAAAGGCAACCCTGCTGGAGATGAGCTCACAGACAGACGGTATAAGACACCCATGGAAACTCCCTGCTGCAAGAGGGAGCAAAGGGAACAAGTGGGTGAACCAAGGGTTCCTGAGCCGTGAATGTGAAAGTGACTTTAAAATAGGTAGGTTTAATATGCTCAAGATACAAAAGCTATATTCAAATTCATAAGACAAAAATAGGCCATTATAAAAAGAATAGAAAAACTGAAACAGAGTCAGAATGTTATTTCTAAAGTCCAGGGGGAAAAAATATAAAATAAAAATAAACAAATAAAAAACTAAATAGATGGGATAAATGGCAGACTTTATACAATGAGGAATTATGAGCTGGCAGAGTGGAAAAGGCCAATATAACACCTTGTAAATGCCCAGTGACACTGCAGAAGGGCCCAGAAATAGCCTGCAAGGTGTCAGCCAAAGAAAGTGCCCAGAAGGGCGCCTGGGTGACTCAGTTGGTTAAGCGACTGCCTTCAGCTCAGGTCATGATCCCAGGGTCCTGGGATCGAGTCCTGCATCGGGCTCCCGGCTCAGCGGGGAGCCTGCTTCTCCCTCTGACCCTCTCCCCTCTCATGCTGTTTCTCTCCTGCTCACTCTCTAATAAATAAATAAATAAATAATCTTTAAAAAAAAAAAAAAAAGAAAGTGTCCAGAAGGTGTGGAGGTGCTCACTCTTTTTTTTTTTTAAGATTTTTTTTATTTATTTGACAGAGAGAGAGAGATTGCGAGAGCGGGAACACAAGCAGGGGGAGCGGGAGAGGGAGAAGCAGGCTTCCCGCTGAGCAGGGAGCCGGATGTGGGGCTCAATCCCAGGACGCTGGGATCACGACCTGAGCTGAAGGCAGACGCTTAACGACTGAGCCACCCAGGCGCCCTGGAGGTGCTCACTCTTAGAGCGAGTTTCCATGTGGGCTTTCTAAGACTTGTCCGTGAGCTCAGTCCCGATCACCACCCAGGCCCTGGGACTGGACTCGTGCCTCGGACTCCCCCACTCCTACACCTACCACCCAACACTCGAGACCAGGGAGCACTTACCTGGTTGCCTTCTGCCTCCCTGCTTTCTGGTTCTTCATTTTTGTCTTCCAGACACTGGGTCGTTCTCGTGCACCCTTTCATGAGGTCTTTTCCCTGCCCATTTCGCCCTGGTAGGGAGTGACCAACCGTTTCTGGATGCCTCGAGTTTCTGGAGCTCCTGAGGGCAGGGGCGGGCTGGTGAATGTCTCTGGATGCCTCCGGAAAATCCCATGACCTGGGCTGGGAGCTGGAATCTGGGTCTGTGGGGCATCTGGAAGGACTGCTCTCCGAACAACCCAAGTTTAAGGATGCACTGGCAGTTTCTTGGTCCGGTTCCTTCAATGAAGTGGCATCTTGAGGCTGTTTCTGACAAGACCCTGAGCTGAAGGACACAGCCATGCTGCTGGGATTGAAGGTCAAGGTGCTGCTGCAGTTCTGCTGTGGGAACCCGGGAGAGGAGCCGCCGGGCTCCGACTCGGTGGAGGAGTGGCTGCCAAGGAAGGCGTCAGACTGGCTGCGGCGGGCATTGTAGGGCTTCAGGAAGGAGCTGTACACAAAGCCTGTGCTGACTACGGGGCGGAAAAATCAACACGAAGGGCTTTTAATGGAAGGGATGGCGGGCGGAGTCAACAGAGAAAAAACTATGGTTGAAAAGCTAGGTCAGTAGTGAGAGACACAAAACAAGATGCCTAGGGACAAAAAAGATGAGACCCTCAATCCCAGGGGACACCGTGGGTGGGTGCAGACGCAACTCTGTGGCTACCTGGCAGCGCCTAATCGCCTGGCCTAACTGACCGCCTAACACGTGAGGGACGCGAGCCCCTGCGGAGAGTCAAGGGGACAGTAAAAAAATGGCCCTGGGTTTGAGAATGAGCATGTGAAAAAAATTTAACAGGATATCTGCATCATGGAAACAAAGGCTAGGAGAGACTTAACTAAGGATGTGTTCAGATACACTGAGGATGGAAAAAGGGATTCTGCCCCTCAGAGATGGCCGCTGGCCCTTTTGCCATCCAGAGCACTTGAATCTCTGCTTCTGGTCTGGGAACGTGGTGGGCATATCGTGAGAACAGTCTAAGGTAGGAAGCGGTTTGTAGGGGTTAGTATGTACACAACACACGCACAGCACATGATCACTTTAATAAATTGCCTAAGATGATGACAGAGAGGGCCCTCAGCTCAAACTTTTAAACATAAAAGACTGAAATCCTTGATCCACGGGAACATTTTTTGATACTATTAAGAAAGAAGTATCTGTGAAGGCAGGGACCCAGAGCAGGTAACCTTCATGCGAGCAAGGGCCATCTCCGTCTTCATCTTCAATGTATTTTCTGTACCTAAAAACACTTCTGTTACATCTGCTGAATGGGGGGGGGGGGGGGGCCTGGGCAGATGGTGAGGAGTAGAGGGTCTAACAGCTGATCCTAATATTGTGGGCTTCCTGCCACCACTCACCAGGATGGTGTAGGTAAAAGCCCCAAGGGTAGAACAGCTTCTTGAAGAGCCTGGATCGTTACTAGGAGTCCTTCTGTGAACCCATCAGCGGCTTCCCCTGCCCATCACCCTCCATCCTTGCTTTCCTTCCCCACTGCCAATCTCCATTCTTTTGGGTAAGCGGGAAGGGATGGGGGTGATGGGAGTCACAAAATACTTTCAAACTGAGAATGGCACAATTTTCCATTCCAGTAGTGTGAACAGAGATGTTTATTGTATAGGCCCACAGTCCTTATTTAAAATGCTTATTTAAAATGCTGAGGGCCAGATGGATTTTGGAATTCAGACTTTCTGAATTTGGGAAAAGTAATCAAGTACTATACGGTTTTTGGCATGACATCCCCAGCAGGGTCTGGGTCACTGCCTCAAAATTAAACCCATTAATGTTTCTATAATGTATGACTATTCACATCAAAAGAGAGGAGTAACAATTATAAACAGCTTCATAACACTTTGCTTGGATTTTGCTACTAAATAAGTTCAGATCAGGGAAGGTTCTGGCAAATGAGTTCTGGAAAAAAAGCCCTTTGTTTTTCAGAGCTTTCTGGATTTTTGGAATCGGGGAGAAATTACATGGATTATTATTCTTGTTACTTTTCTTTAAATTCTGTACCCAACAACCCTCCCCAAGCCCCCCCCACTAGAAAAAGCTATAAGCTATTTTTAAAATCATTCCCAGTCATGAGGTAAAACCATTATGGAACAAAAAACTCAAAAAGCAAACAAAAAATCCTTTCTTACAAGTTTTAAATTCACACACTCTCAAAACCCATTTACAGAGCTTGGAAGAGGGCAGCTTATTTTGGGGTTCTCTTAGAACAGGTTGAGAGGACTCAGGCCCCAGTAAGCACGGCCTGGAAGAGCTGTAAAGCATGGCAAGATCCTGCAAGGTAAAAAATGGAGCCCTCTCTGGAATTTGTACAAATAAAACCAAAACCAAAGACAGGTTTTGTTTTGGTAATGACTTGGGCACTACACTCTCCCAAGATGGATAGAACTTGTAAGGTTATTTTTCCCCTTTAATCAAAGACCTTTTTTTTTTTTTTTTTTTTTGGCCTAGACAGGATTCAGGTACAGCCAGAAATAACTTTTTCCTCATTCAAAGTTAAGAGTAATCTGAGGTGTAGCATTCCTACCTCCATTGTCAATCAGCCAGCGGTTCTGACTGCCCATGGGGTCCTTTTTTTTGATTACGCCCACCAGGTCACCTTCCAGAAGTGAGACATCTAAGTCTTGAGCTGCATTGAAGTTCCGTTCTGCTTGGAAGAGTTTTTCAGGGGGATACCTTGCCAGAAGGGAGGCCCGGAGTTCTTCCGACTGTAGCATGTAACTTGGCTGAAAGGCAACACAAGGGATGCAATCAACAAAAGCCCTCCCTGGCCACCAGCCCAGCGGCCATATATAATCCCAACTCACAGTCTGAGTCTCAGAAATGGGGGCAATGACAGCCAGCCACTCGCTACTCCCTTTGGATGTTTTTGTGCCTGAGTCAGTCCATGTGGCTGGGTAAAAATCATGATCTTAGTTCATGTTTTAGTGCCTTGGTAGCTATTAAGAAAATTTAACACACACTTAGTTTCACATCTGTTTATCTTGTGACCAAAAAATGTGATTAAAGTGCCACGTGGGGCGCCTGGCTGGCCCAGATGGTAAAGCGCGTGACTCCTGATCTCGGGGTTGTGAGTTCAAGCCCCACATTGGGTGTAGAGATTACTTAAAAATAAAATCTTCCAAAAAGAGTACCACCAAAAGAGGCAAAATATCTAAGTAATATTACAAGATCTTCTTCTATTTTGCTATATGAATTGAAAAAACTGAGACTTTCTTTATCTTGACTTCCCCATCTATAAAAACAATTACCATTCGGGCACCTGGGTGGCTCAGTTGGTTAAGCGACTGCCTTCGGCTCAGGTCATGATCCTGGAGTCCCTGGATCGAGTCCCGCATCGGGCTCTCTGCTCGGCAGGGAGCCTGGTTCTCTCTCTGACCCTCCCCCCTCTCATGTGCTCTCTCTCTCTCATTCTCTCTGTCTCAAATAAATAAATAAAATCTTTAAAAAAAAAAAAAACAATTACCATTCGTAAAAATTATAAAAAATAAAAGTAATAATAAATTTGATTCTCCCTTTCAAGCTAATATAAATTAATGTCTATGAGATTATATGGAGCAAAATGTTGTAAACAGAGATCAATAACCTTTTTGATTGTGGCCTCGACTTCTCAAAATACGGAAAAATTGAGTTCTAAAAGAATGTAACTCCAGGTAAGAAAGCAGTCAGCCATGAACGGTTTGGCCATGTATCAGATAATTACCTTTTCTTTCTCCTTTTTTTTTTTTTTTTTAAAGATTTTATTTATTTGACAGAGAGCGAGCAAGTGAGCGCACACAAGCAGGGGGAGCGGCAGACAGAGGGAGAGGAGAAGCAGATTCCCACTGAGCGGGGAGCCCGACTCGGGGTCTGATCCTAGGACCCCGGGTTCATAACCTGAGCCAAAGGCAGATGCCCAGCAGACTGAGCCACCCTGGCACCCCAGATAATTACCTTTTCCAGTACATGATCCAACACGGGGAAGCCTGGCAAAATTGACACACCCTTAAATGAGTTTCCTTAATTAACTGGTCAAAGTATTAATATGAATCCTTCAGGAACTGCATTCACTGTACAGACTAAAATCTGAGAAGGCTTTTCAGAAGGTATTTTGAGGTGCATATCGAGTGTGAAAAAGCTACTGGCAGTCCCTAGCCTTAGCAGCCGTGATGCGCGGGAATACTGAGAGAAGGAGCCCGGGACAGATGAGGGAACTCCATGACCTTTATTCGGCATTATTATAAGATACTAAAACTCCTGTGAAGCTGCTCATCTGTGGACAGAGCTGGGTGCATCACTGGTAGCCATGATAGCTTATCTGTACGGTGCTCACCATGTGCCAGGTAATTTCTAAGTGCTTCACGCATATGAACTCCTTTGAACCTGGTAAGAGCTCGATGATGTAAGCACGATACCGGGTCCTGGAGACGGCAGGAGGCTAAGCGGCCTGCCCGCGACACGGGGCAAGTCCCCCTCCGGGCCGGGCCTGAGCCGCCACAGTCCCCACTCTCCCCCAAGCCCCCCGTGCGGCCCCCCACTCACCAGCCCCAGCAGCGGCTTCCGGGCCGCCGGACGGTCCGCGGTCTTCCTCTCGAACGGCTTCCTGGCAGCCGGAAGCGACTCTGGGAAGAAGGTGAAAACCTGGAGCTGCTGCAGGACCCTGCTGTGCTCCTCATGGAAGACGGTGGTAAGGTTCCCCTCTCTGCCGGCGACTTTAAGTGGCTGGAGTCGGCGGGCAGGGCAGAGAGAGAGAGGAGAGAGATGACGCAAGCCCGCAGGCCTGACGGGCGGCTCGGGCTCAGCTCCCTGTCACCCAGCTCCCCGTTATGGGCGGGTTACTGGGCACGACCGCAGGCGGGCCACCCGGCAGGGGCGGGGCGGGGGGGAGCTGGGCTTAGAAGCCACAGGCACCGGCAAGGGACGGAGATTCGGAGGGGCTTGACCAAGGACCCCTTTTATCTCTAGTGCGAAGAGTTTCTCAAGCAACCCAAATGCGCACTCCCAGAAAGACACCAGGAGAGCCTCAGAGACTCCTCCGCGGGGGCGGGGGGCGGGGGGCGAAGGGGCGGCCGGAGGGAGGGGCGGAGGGACAGATGGAGGGATGGACGGGCAGAGGGACAGACGGAGGGTCGGGCGGAAGGTCAGCCGGACGGGTGGAGGGACACACGGAGGGTCGTTCAGAGGGACGATGGACAGATGGACTGACAGACGGAGGGACGGACGGGCGGAGGGGAAGACGGAGGGTCGGCCGGAGGGATGGACGGACGGACGGAGGGATGCACAGAGGGATGCACGGAGGGACAGACGGGCGGAGAGACGGGCAGAGGGGCAGATGGAGGGATGGACGAACAGAGGGACGGCCGGACACACGCACCGACAGCAGCGGCTTCAGCTGCTCCAGCGCCCGGCGCACGAAATCGCAGTGGGCCTCGGCGTAGCCGTGTACGCAGTTGGTGAAGAGCCCCTGGGCGAACTGCTGGAACTTGGGCAGCTCGTCCAGCAGCTGCGCGTTCAGGGCCTCGTAGTTGTTCCGGGCCGACTGCAGCTCCTCCAGAGTCTTCTTGTCCTTTAGCTTCTCTGCCCGTTCCGTGCAGTTGTAGAAGTCCAGAAGCTTATCGAAGCGTTTCTGCACCAGCTTGTGGGGCCCTGTGAACATGCTCAGCAGCTGATTGAGGGGAGAGATGACAAGCCGCTCTGTCCTCTCCTTCTGTGGGGACAAGAAAATCACGTGGCTCAGTTGTCCCGTATCCCATATTTATGGTTTTTAATTGGGAAATAACAGACATAACATCAGGTTCAGGTGTACATACAACATAATGATTCAGTATTTGTATATATTGCAGAACCATCACCACGGTAAGTCCAGTGAACACCCGCACCCGTCACCACATATATTTGTCCTTCTCTGAAATACCCTTCAGGCTGATTTGTGATACCCTGTACCACCTGCTTTGCTCCCAGCGCACAAGCTAAACCCATACAGATCCAACGGCGTTCTACTTACCCAGCACCAGATGGACTCACACATCTTACGAAACTTCTCAATTTAAAACCTTCACCAATCATATGCACATGCCAAAGAGTCTGCAAAATATGCTGGGCTCACCTGAGCTCCATAGTTGATAATGGGACAGTTTGTCCGGTATCACCTCTTATGTGCACAGGTCTACATGGCTTGAGGTAGAGAAGCTTTTGTACACCCATAATACCTTTTCTAATCATAACTACTTGTTAACACCTGTTTCTACTTTTCAAAAGATTTTTCTTTTTGTTTTCTCTTTGTTTAGAAGGACAGACATTGAGGGGCAGGATACTGCCACATAAAGAACATAAATAGGTACTTGGTACATTACTTTTAGTAAGATGCTGTTGTTAGAACACCTGTAAGTTCCCCAAGTGTGAATAAATGCTTTCTTCAGCCTCAAGCCATCCAAAAATTTCCAAGAAACCTTCAAACCCCACTCATCTCTTTCTCCTCCTCATCAAACAATTCCACATCTATGTTTAGAATTGCCAGAACAATTTGACCTTTAGTACTGTCTTTATAAGGAAGCACATGCCATCTCAAAGATCCATTGGTTAACTTCGAAACTACTAAATATTCCTTTCTAAGTTAGTACTCCTATCGTTGTTTTCTTTCATCAGAGTTGTCAACAGTGATACCAGATGAAATTTCCCACTTTTCCTCTGTCTTTTCAAACTAGACTGATCACAAGCTATAAAAAATCTCTTTGAATAACAGAGGCCCAACCTGTCCTTTTAACCAATTAAAAGCCATTGTTCTGAATATAAAACCCCAATATGGATAGAGCTAGAGGATGACTGGTATTCCTGATGCACATGGCATGTCTTCTGTGGGATTAACTTTTCCACAACCTGGATGTCAGAGAACCCCAGGAAGAAGGCCACCCTATGAAAAGAGGGTGGAAGAAAGAGTCACTTATGGGGCGCCTGGGTGGCTCAGTTGGTTAAGCGACTGCCTTCGGCTCAGGTCATGACCCTGGAGTCCCGGGATCGAGTCCCGCATCGGGCTCCCTGCTCGGCGAGGAGCCTTCTTCTCCCTCTGACCCTCCCCCCTCTCATGTACTCTCTCTCATTCTCGCTCTCTCAAATAAATAAATAAATCTTTAAAAAAAAAAAAAAAGAAAGAGTCACTTACGAAATGTGTGAAGAGCTGGTCACTGATGTAGCGATGCACCTTCTCGAACTGCTCCAAGTCTCTGTGTCCCTTCTCCATGCACACGTCCCACATGCTCACGGCAGCCACCACTTTCACACACGCCGATTCCTAGAGCCGGTTAGAAACAAATGCAGTCAGACAGAACCTTCTAGCCGTCACCATTCATCCTGGATAGCAGAATGGGACAAAAGGGGCCCATAATTAAAAATTCTCTTTCTAGCGCAGTATTTTAGCTTTGAAATAAGCACATTCTCATAAACTAGGATTTATGAGGAACAGAGAAAAGCCTAAGACTCTTACTTATAGAAAAAAATGGTGAGGGGTTTTATAGGCTCTTTAGCATTTCTTTATGTTCCTAATTTGAGTCAAGATGATTCCTGCAGGATGATGATAATGAGTGATCACCTCTCCTACAAGTGTCGGCTCATGCTGTCACCATCTCAAAGACAGCTGGCCACGACCCCCTTCCTGCACTCAGGCGCACCTGACTGCTCTGTCCTTTGTCACTGCAGACAACATAACTTACTAACGTTTGCACACTGTCTCTATCCCCTCCCGCAACCCCCTAATAACATGTAAACTCCCGGAGGGCAGGGATTTTTGTCTGTGTTGTTCGCTGACTCAATTATCATTTGCTGACTAAATGAATAAGTAAGTGAATGCACAGTAAACTCTTCTGGACGGATCCTGACAGGTTTTAAACCCCAGGCTGTTTTCTCTGGCTACTTAAACAACGCTGGGTTCTCACCTTCTTTAGTTTAAGTTAGGGGAATACCCATTATTTCGCTATTAATCCAAATAAAATCTAAAGGTACCCAAAACTCCATTCATATATTTCAAGGGCAAATGAAGTCCCTAAGCAAAATACATCAGTGCCTCATTCATTGGTTTGATTTTACGACATTTTATTTTATGACATTGGCAGATCTCTTGTCTTTAAGTCCTATGCCTGTATGTGTAGACATCGTGTTTTGTCAGAAGGATAAATTGTGTCATCTTCCTAATTCCTCCTGAGTGGAAGAATGAATGTGAAATGTGATGTCCTCTTATATTCTTTAAAAAAAAATGTCGTGAAGTCTCAAATAGTAGTCCACACATCAATGCAGATACCAAAGTACAGTCAATGTCCCTCAGCTTATGTTCTTGACAGCTCGCTCTCTCTCAGTGGATCCAGCTAATTTTATTTGGCAGGGCTTTTCACTTTATGTCAGTGATGAAACTGTTCAACATCTTCTTCCTTCATTTCTGGTTAGCTATCAGAACCAAACTGACCTGCCCATCAAATGGCTGTCCATGTTCCATTATGGCCCACGCACTACTGTGGCGATAGTCCTTTTAAGAGCTGGGGAGTCAGGTATATGCTTGCTACACATTTAGAAAACATGGGGAGAAAACACCCAATAGGAGGGTATCGAAAGTAGAGGAATTAATTGTAAGGGAATGTCCTAGACCAGGGAATACACTTGGGAGTTGTATCAACATTGTTTTTGCCAAATCTCTCACTTTAAGCCAATGTGCTCTTAAAAAGTTTTATAAACCCTAATTTTTACCTAATTATATACTTAAAACATGAAGGGAAAGAGTTTTGCTATTCAAGGGCATGTGGGAAATGTAGGGGGCATTTCAAATCATGGGGATTTTTTAATAAATTATGACAATTGGAAAAGCAGGTAAAAAAAAAAAAATCACACTGGATCCCTACCTCAATCTTATACACTAAATTCCAGCTAGATCAATGACTTCAACTTTAAAAAATGAAATAATAAAAATACTAAAACCTGGGAGATACTTATTACCTTGGAAGAGGAAAGACCTTTTTAAGTATAACATAGATCTAAGAAGCCATAAAAAAGTTCAGACCATGCAAACCTAAAAATTTTCTACACGAGGAAAACATTTAAGTAAACTCAAAAGTCAACAAACTGAGGGAGAAATAGTTGTAAACCATTATCATACACAAAGGGCTATTCTATTTTCTCCAACTATACAGAGGTACTACAGGTCAGTAAGAAAAAGATCATCAAATCAATAAATAAGCACCTCAAAATATAGACAAATCAACAGAAAAAGGAATATAATGACTTAAAGACAGGAAAATATCCTCAACTTCATTCATAAGGAATGCAAATTTAAACTACCTGCAAATAGCATTTTTAACCTATCTTGCAAAGAGGAGACATTTTGATTTTGGTAACACTGTGTGTTAGTAAGGGATGGGGAAATCATTTCATTCACTACTGATAGGGAGTCTTCCCTGGTACAATGTCTACATGCTGTATGATTTGGCTCAGCAAATCCAGTACTCTGGTCTTCAGATATACTCTCATAGATCAGAAAATGATGTATCTACAAGGATATTCTTGTGCCAATATATCTAATCGTTTGCCAACAACAAATAAATGTCCATCAATAGGGGACAAGTTAAGTATATTATGGCACATCCATATCATTACATACTGGTGCAATTGTTTAAAAAAAAAAAGAAAGTTCTGTGTGCAGAGGTATAGAATGACTTCCAAAATACTATTATGTGCAAAACCCAAGATGCTCAACAGTGTGTATCTCTCTCTCTCTCCCCCCCACACATACACACATACACACACGATTATCTCTGATGAGAGAAGAATCTGATAAATGCAGACTGTGTCTCTAGAAGGTGCCTAGGAGACGGGTTGGAGGAAGAATTATTTTCACTTTTTACTTATTCCTTTGGTACCTTTTGAATTTGTACCATTTTCCTTAATTTAAAAAAAAAATTTTTTTTTTTTTTTTAAAAAGCAGAGGATCTCTTTTTACGAAAACTGTCAGGAAGAGATTTTCATGTGTGAGGGACAGGAGTACATGATATGCTTACATAAACACCATTCTGTGATGCCCATGGGGGAAGGAGAGACCCAAACAGAAAGGAGTCTAGTCCCACCTCTGACTATGAAGCAAAAACCGCCTGACCTCCTCAGCCCCGCCAGCTCTCCAGACCTATTCACGGTTCTAACAACTTTAGAGGCCTTGCGTACAGCAACTAAATTTGATGGAAATTAACATTATTATGAGAAAGTGTGCCTCCAATGGGAACCATTATCGTATTATTCGATCTTTGAAATGATCTTTACAAACTGAACTGTGACAAGTGCTTCACGAATAACTGGACAGAGGAAACAGTAAGAAAAAGGTGATGGGAAGGTTGGTGACCACGGGAGGAAGGAAGGAGCCAGGCTGCTCTAGGATTCATTTGGAAGCTCATCTTCCAAATGCTGTCACCTCTTAAATAAACAACCGGACTCCCAGTAACAAGTATGTCAGGGCACAGTGGTCATCTGAGTCCAGATTATTCAACACCCATCCCATAATATGCTGACGAGCAGGAAAATGGACAGAATTACACCCTATGTGATTCTAAGCAGAGCGCTGCCTTCACTCACCCGGATATGCTGAAGGTAGAGAGACAGGTCCCGGATAAAAGATTTGATCAATCTTTCTTGCATTCGGAAGTTCTTTTCTGTTTCTTCAAATGCTTCATCTTTGATCTGTTCAAAATAAACAAGTGCTGTTAGCAGATCCGGATTCTCCCTCAATCTATCCTATTGGCAAAAGAATCTTACTTAAAAATACCTTTTGTCTAAATTTTAAGCCTTTGATGTTTCCCCAAATCATAATGAATTGAATTTAAACATCTCTATGTGACCTTGAAAGATCTCCAAAATACACCCGGGCTCTCTTGCCTTCACACCTTACTTGCTCTGCTCCTGATGGGAAGACATGCTTTGCTCTGGTCAGATGCTCTCTTCCTGTCCCCAGTGACCACCAGTGCCATGGCTCGAGCTGTCCCCTTGCCTGGTATGCCCTGTCCCTGTGCCAAACTACCCCCTTTCTTTGAGGCTTAGATTAAATCTCGTCAGCATGAAACTTGCTCTCATGCAACTCCTGTTTTCCTAAGTACTAGAGCATACAGAGAACAAACTGCAACACTTAGCAGCTGATTGTTTTCTAGCTGCTACTTCCCACTGACTACATACTGACTACAGGCTATAGAACGAAGCCTGGTGACTCCAGATCCACCCTCAGCAATTCGGATGTTTCCACATTACTCAGTTTCACAGCCTTTACGTTTTTTCAATTTGTGACATGTTGTGTCGAACTACGGTGATCTCTTAAATCCCTTCTAGCTTCATGTCTACGACTTGGTGTCCCCAGATACACCACAAGCTCCTCATGGGTGTCTGAAACCACAATAACTATTATTCGGTGACCAATTTGGCCTCCTGATTTGCCTCTGCACGCACTGTAAGCCGCTCACCATGGCAGGGTGGAGGGCTGGGAGGGGGGATTCCCATACATAGCAGCTGCCGGGTCCTGCATCCACCAGCTGGCAAACATCGAAAGAGGTACTAAGAGATGAATCATGCCAATCGATACCATGCAGGTTGCCCTGTGGAAACCCCAAAACGTTGCTGAAGATGTGCCAAACCTTCAAGGGTGGGAATCTCACCTGTGGAGCAAAGCCAGTGAGGTGCTTCAGGTGACTGCTAACGCGGTTGGATTTCTTGATGATGGAATGGATGTTCAGTTTGGAAATTTTCTCCATGAGGCTGTCTTCATCACCCTTTCGGTACTTGAGGACTAGAGAGTGAGTCAAGAAAGCCCTTCTCTGAGCATGGACAGACTACAAAATGAGCCACAAAATGAGATCAACAACCCAAACTAGAGGTAGTGCTCAGTTTCAATGAGCTTATAACTGAGTAGAGACAAAACATGAATGGAAATCACCATTATGGGCAGACAGGATACTTGACGAAGCACAGAGATGGCACAGACTGGAGGTGGTTAGGAGGAAAGGGAGCAGAGGGGTCAGGAGAAGAATCTAAGATTTGGAGTCCAGGAAACCTCTGAGCTCCATGCCCAGGTCTGTCATTTCATCAAGGTGTGGCCTTCCAGAAGTCACTTAACTCCTCTGAGCCTCATTTTCTTCTCCAATAAAATGTAGAGAGGAACACTACTTGCTTTATAAGACCATCTTATATGGTCTCGTGTACAAATGAGATATTTATATCCAATTGTCTCATATAGTAAAATGCTATACAGGAGTCGTGATCAACTACTGTGTCATATCTTAGGCACAATCTCTAGAAAAGTCAGGAGACATCAGAAGGGTCACAAGGACAAGACTGGGTGGCACTACAAAGGCACACTTTATTGTTACAGGAGATGAAGACATTATACTAGGAGATAAGAATCAGAGAGGGAGACAAACCATAAAAGACTCCTAACTATGGGAAACAAACTGAGGGTTGCTGGAGGGGTGGGGGGTGGGGGGACAGGGTAACTGGATGATGGGCATTAAGGAGGGCACGTGATGTGATGAGCACTGGGTGTTATATAAGACTGATGAATCACTGAACTGTACCTCTGAAACTAAAAATACACTATATATTAATTAACTGAATTTAAATTTTAAAAGGTGCCTGGGTGGCTCAGTCGGTTAAGTGTCGGCCTTCGGCTCAGGTCACGATCCTAGAGTCCTGGGATCGAGCCCCACATCAGGCTCCCCACTCAGCGGGGAGTCTGCTTCTCCCTCTGACCCTCCCCACCTTGTGCTCTCTCACTCCCTCTCTCTCAAATAAATAAAATCTTTAAGAAAAATAAATGAAAGAAATAAATTTAAAAGAGAGAGGGAGAAGAAAGGAGATAGGAACCAAGACAAAGGACTAAATGGCCTGAGGGCTTTAAGAGCACAGTCAACATAGCATACCAATGTGGGTGACGTGGTGGGTAGAAGGTACAGAAAGAGGTTATACTATATTACAGATTCTTTGAGGATGTGACTAACCAATCAATTTAGCATGGTTACCATGCTATACTGATCGAGGGTTCAAATTAGAGCCTCACAAGAGGTTTGATGAAAGAGAAAAGAAATGGTTCAGTTCAGTGCTGGGGGCGGGGCTCAGACCAGAGAGGAGTCACGTGACCCAGAGACTGGGCAAATGGGGGTTTTCTGAAAGAGGAGGAAAAGCCCTAACTTAAGTGGAGGTAGTAAAACATCCAACACGACATGCAGGAAAACAAGTCTAAGCACGGGTTGAAAAGGCTTCGAGCGGAGAAAGCAATCACCAGTGCCTGAATGAGCCACTCTGTATCCGTGGGAAAGACTCTCATTGCCACAAGTTTGATCACAGATGCCTTACTTCCAATATTCCACGGTTGTACTTTCATTATGTTATTGCTTGCTTTTTCCTACCCTATTTCCCCCCATTCTGCCACCGTTTCTACAGCAGAGCCCTATTACCCACCCTCTGTCTTGCCCTTCTCTGGTGAAGGCATAATTCTCTGGAGGGGGACAGCATTCTTTTCAGCAAGTATGCTTTTCTTACCCAGGTCCTTTCGACGTTTATATTCATTAATGTTCACGTTGATCTCCTTGACTGCAAGGACTGCACTGGTTAAGGGCCCTTTATCGGGGTGGGATTCTGGGGTGGAATTCAGCAACTCCATGAGTAGCAGTGGGTAGCGCATTACCCTCTGGACCGGTTTGATGAGGAAGGAGCCCAGGTTAATGTAATTTGTGCATCCCCTAACAGAGAAGGAAAAAGAGACTTTTAATCAAATGTCAGTAATATAGGGCCTATTGGTAATGTTTGTGATTCTTAAATATAGCTCTGTTCTCTCATCCTCCTTTCCAATTTCATTCATTCAGCAAATATTTTCTGGGCACCTAATAAATACCAGGTGCTGTTGTAGGTGCTAGGGATTTAGTAGAGGAAGGAGAGAGGCAACAAACATTGTAGCAAGTGTCACTTGGTGGTAAGCACTATGGAGAAAAATACAGCAAAGGAGGTCTACTTCTAGGCTTCTCTCTATTAGGGAAGAAAATAAAAGAAATGAGCATGTGCATCAAGGGCGAGGGACTTACCATTCTGTGTACAGGCTCCTACAGGGCAGCGAGCATGAAAAGAAAACAGACAGCTGCTTAGAGGTAATGCTAAATGCCGATTTTCACATTCTTCGCAGGATATAGTAGTTCAACTAATGCCTATCAGTTGGGCAGACAAATAAAATCACATGGGATAAAGGGAAATTATGAATATCTATGGAGGCATATCTAGTTCATTAAAAAGTTAGTAAGCCCCTAACTTCCCTATGATCTACTCAGACATATATTGTATCCTTATAACCTGCCTAAGTCCAGGAGAATCTCACCTGAAGGTCAAGAATAAGTGAATTGGGTCTTTTTACCTATGCTCTTATTTGTTTGGAGCAAACTATCTCCCTGACTCCTTCTTACCTGAAATGCTAATTTAATACTTTGTATCTACAGATATGAAGCGGGAAGCCACTGAAGATTTTCAAGGGAAAAGGCAGTATGATGAGAGAAGAGCAAGTTATATAACAGGACCTTTAATAACATATCATTTATGATTAAAATAAGATAGATGTCACAAGAAGTCTAGACCTATGCACGGACTGAGTTCTCAACGGCAGAATAAAGAATTATGATGGAAGTGCAGTGAGGTCAAAACTCCTACTTGAGATCTGCCAAGGAGTCCTGAAGATGCTTCTGGATCTTCTCATCCTTCTCGTAGATTTCCAGCAGTGAAATGGCCTCATCGTGATTCTGGCAGTAAACCTTGTATGTTCCCTCAAGCTCGTCCCGGTGATCGAGAAACACAGGCCCTTTAGAATATACGTAAACATACAGTGTTTTTAGTAACTTTCTTCTCAGTAGCTTCAACGTGAGGTAGATAACCAAACATTTATCAGTTAAATCCTATCACAAGAAATGATAATGAGACTAATTACCCAATTTATAATTTCCATGAAATAGCTCAGAATTATATTTATTTAAAGCAAAATTTAAGAGAACCATGTCATCACATATTTATTTTTCAGAGCCTCCCCCCCCCCCCCCCCCACCATACACACAGCTGGCCCCAGAAACCGCCTCCAGTCCCTTTCCAGTCAGGCAAAGGGGTCTGCAAGCGCTCCCCACAGAAGATCAGAAGCGTAAGGGCCCCTCACTCTCCAAGCCCCAGGGAAACCACAGTGAGGCAGCAGTTTCTAACCTTTTCTTTGTGCATGAATTAAATACACAGGACTATAAATGAAGTTTATTATATTAAAATACCTATAATATAAAAAAAACACAACAAATCTGTGACAGAGTAACATGTGTACTTCTTCTAAAGCATTAAACAGCAAAACGTAGCTATAAATCTAATAATCAGCCTAATGGCTCTTCCTCTGCTAATTCCTTGGTCCTTCCTGCTTCAGCTTGTACTACTGATCAAGGTCGGCTTGCCCTTGAGCTCCTCTCTTAAAACATGACCCTGCTCAGCGCTGCCCTACTAACCCTTCCTACAAGCGGCTCTGGGCAGAAACCCCCGCACGGAACCCAACTGCTCTGCTCCCCATGCGCTGACCTAGGGAACACTCTGTTTTTGCGTAGATCAGTTTTCATTTATATGAAATCTACATCTTTAATCACTGTTCCTTTCTGCGACAGAAACGGGACTTTTTTCACAAACATCCCACTCATGCTGCCCTCCCCAGGGCAGCCTCGCTTCTGCCTGTCCCCGCAGCTCAGCAGGCTCGGCGGCGCCCCGGGCTGGCTGCCTTCCTGACCTTCAGGACCACCCTGGGAGCCCTGACCACCAACGTCCCTATATCCGATACCCGCCTGCCGTCTTCTCTCACGTTACTCCTTTGTACCCTTGCCCTACCGACATTCCCAGAACCTCCCAGAACTGTCGTGAGCATGCTGCTGCCATGCCCCCAGCTCTACATCAGTGACCAGCTAGCAAAGCGCCACCTAAATTTCCAGCGTTCTTCAAACTGGGGGTCACAACCCATAAATGGGTCATGCGATCTACTTTGTGGGTCACATTCAGCACTTTGGGGAAATAAAATGGCACAGAAAAGAAAATCTCAGGCAATGCTGGACACAGTCCAAGCACACACACACACACACACACACACGATGGGTCACGATGTAAAACAGATTTCTTTCTGTGAGATAGGTGTAAAATAATTTAAAATACTACGTACCCAGAGTCTCCTGGTGCTTTTTTCTCATCTCCTTACTCAGCCAAGCCCTGAGCACGTCCCATTCTCTCCTCCCTCACTAAATCCTGTCCTGCCTGCACTTAGAATCCTTCCCCAGTCAGACTACTAATGCGAGTTCCGCGCTGCTTTCGCCAGCACCCTGCATTATCCTGATTTTTTTGCTGAGTTATCCCCCTCTCCGTATACTTTTTCCATTTCTATTCCTGGCTCATAAAACTGCTTGGAAGGTACATTGTTAAGGGTTGGGGGGGAGGGGGAGAAGGCTTCGTGTAGAACAGTTTGAATAATTCCTTAACACTTGTGTGATTTAAAAAAAAAAATGGAGATGGGGGCTCGGGGTAGAGAAAATATGTATGTAATTGCTGGTATATAATAAACTCTCTGGAAGGCAACGGAAGAAAACTAATAGCCCTGGGTGCTTCTGGTTTGAAGAGCTGGTGGCTAGGGAATGGGTAAGAGCCTTTTCATTAAATAGTTCTTTGTAACTTTCTGTGTGCCAAGGGAATCTATTAAAAATAAGTTAAATTAGAACTATATTAAAATAAAAAACAAAGAAATATATTAAAATAAACTTGACCTCCCCAAACACTGCTTATGCAATTCATGCCCACCTGCCTTTTGCTAGTGGCTCGCCAAAGCTTTCCTGTGTCCGTTCCCCTCCCAGGTAAGTCAGGTAAACACTGCCTAGTGTAAGCCAACATCATGACCCCATTCTCCTTTTCAGTCATCAGCTTAGGCATATGCACGTGACCCAGTTCTGGCCAATGAGAAATAAAGAGAAAGCTGACAGGGGAGCACTGGGAAAGCTCTGTTCACTCTTAAATGACACAGGGTCACTTCTCCCTTCTGCTGGATGTTGTCATGTGTGTAGGGGGATGGCTAGAACTGCGGTAGCATCCTGTGACCATGATTCCAGGAACACAGCAAAATGGTAGGATGTCCCTTCCCACATTGTACCAGAGCTGGTCTGTGTGACCAACAGAATATGGCAGAAGTGACAGTGTGTCATATCCAGATCAGGTTAGAGAAGACACTGTGGGTCTCCCATCTTGAGCCTTCTGTCCCTCTTGGATCACTCACTGGGGAAAACCAGCAGCCATGTCCTGAGGACAGTCCATGGAGAGGCTCAAAGGCAAGGAACGAGGGCCTGAGGAGCTGAGTGGGCTTCCTCGGAAGTGGATCTGTGAGCCCCAGAGGATGGTAGTCCAGGCCAACAGCTTGACCCCCACCTCAGGAGAGATGCTGAGCCAGAGCTGCCCAGCTAAGCCACTCCTGGAGTCCTGGGCCACAGGCACTGTGGCATAATACATGTTTCTGATTTAAAGCTGCAAAGTTTTGGTATAATTTGTTACATGGCAATAGATAACTAATACAGTTCCTTTGTTGATTAAAAACAGGTGACTGTTTTTCAAACATTCTTAACAATGACCCACACGAGCGAAAACATTTTAAATCATGACTCAGTATACTTATATGTAGAGTTGACATGAGTGTGAAAAAGCTGTAGCTGTGCTTATTCTTTAGAGTACATTCTGATATTTTCTATTTTATTTTATTGAAAAAAGTATATACCGGGTGCAACTTGCTCTAGTGATCTCATGACCCACCAACAGGCTGCAACCTTCGGTCTGGAAAACTCACGCTATGCAACACCTAAAATCTCTTCTATTGCTAACATCCTGTGGCAACTCAAAGTAGGCTGTAGATAAAAGGAGAAGCAGACGGCCAAGTGACCTCTGAACTAAGTAGCTAGAACTTCCTTTTCCCACTTAGAACCAGCAAGGCTGCTTCACCCCTTACCTCCTACCCGTGAAGTTTAACAAAAAGTGGGGGGGGTGGGGAAGCCGCTTCTGAAGCAATGGCAGGAGCTCATACCTACAGCATCGCTGATTTCCAGATCAGCCAATAACTGCTTTGAGACCTTAATCACCATCTGCATATTTCCAAAAAGTCCTTCAAAGTCGATGTTTGGTATCTGAGAAAGGGAAACAAAACGTAAAGATGCATGGAAATGAAATTAATGGCATGCCATTCATACTAGGAACATCTCTTCAAGGATGGTACAAAACTGTTCAAAGTCAGCTTCACTCACTGTCACCAAGATTCCAGGAGAGAAGCATGCCAACATTATCTCTAGTGTCACTCTTTGTCCCTGATCCAATTACTCTCTGCTCGACCCCCTCCCCCACTACCTTAATAAAAGGACTGTTACCAGTCTGGTCTCGAATTATGTTGGGATACAAATTCCCACGCAGTACCCAAAATCCGATGGCAGTGCCCACTTCCTATACTAGTTCTTAGGAGTGAGTGTTCTGGAAGTACAAACCCAAGCCAGGCCCAGATGGTCTAGTAACAAGCAGTAAGGATAAATCCCCCCAGGAGGCTGTTAACCTTTTTCCCCCACCTCCAGCATCTAGACAAGTAGCCGGCACACACCTGACGGGCAGGGTTTCCTGAATAAACGCTGTACCGTCAGGTGCGAGAGCCACCGAACCCATCATCCCCGGACTTCATTATTAGGCCACCGTCCCAATGCCGTGACCACCCAGACTGCCTAGGAGTGTCTTTAGGAGCCACGGAAGCAGGACATGTCCTGGGAGCTACTGCAGCAAGTCTGGCAAGTTGACAGTAGTCTTGAGAAGTGACAGGACGCTGAAAGCTTAAGCTGATGACAGGCACATCAGGGCCCTGCAGTTAAGAGCAGCAGCCATACGGCGTTTATTTCAAACCAGTAACCCTTGCGGTGGACGCGCCCACACCCTAGCGCTCCAGGCTGGGGGAATCACGTTCTCGGTAAAGCGAACTTGCTCTCACAGCTCCCACCTGTGCCTGCTGCAGGGGCACCATGATGTGCTCGATGCACATTTCCAGATCCCGAATGTAGTCTCTTTCCGTCTGGAGGAGTTCTTCTATCACCTTGGCTCTTTTCTCCAGCATCCTCTGCTCTGGGTTTTCAGTGTACACGGACCCAGGAGGGGCCACGGGTGATGAAGACTGGGAGGAGAGCAGCGTCATTTCTAGAAGGGAAGAGAGAACTGGTCGGCGGCTCTGGGTGTGAAAGCAAGATTCTTCAACAGTTCAGGCTGAAAAGAACACATTCCTTGAGAACCAAAGTCTCGTCACTGTCAACCACCAGGAAATCCGATCACACGTCAGTTCTAATTACGAACAGATGAAGGGCTGAGAAAGCCGTTTCTGCAAAGAAAACTTCTGTCATCTGTGTGATAACATTTCTTGAACTTGTCCTAAAAAAGAATAGCTGGCCCATTTCAGGAGGACAAATCACTGTCCACAACCTCTTAGGGAAGAGGCTGAGAGAGGCACTGTTCTTACAAAGAATTGCTTTCACTTAATTAGGTAAAAAACCCAACGCATGAGGTCAGCAGCAGAAATACCAAGCTGCAAGTTAAACACTGATACAGCAATATTAAAAAGAATATTATGGGGGACATCACAGTGCCAACTAATGAGAAGACGAGAGTTAGATAAGAATTACCTGAGAACTGGGTGACTACAGGGCCTACTATGTTCCAGTCACTGTGATGGATGATGAAAATCCACAATGAAATATACAAAAATTATTTAGATTCTCCCTATTGAAACATTAGTAAAGACTTGGGCACCTTGTTATTTCAAATGCCCTAGAAGATACAAAGGTACTAGGAAGATGAAGTCCTTTTTTTTTTTTTTTAAAGATTTTTATTTATTTATTTGACAGAGAGAGACACAGCGAGAGAGGGAACACAAGCAGGGGGAGTGGGAAAGGGAGAAGCAGGCTTCCCGCAGAGCAGGGAGCCCAATGCGGGGCTGGATCCCAGGGCCCTGGGACCACGACCTGAGCTGAAGGCAGAGGCTTAACGACTGAGCCACCCAGATGCCCCAAAGATGAAATTCTTTTTAAGGATATTATCAATCAAAAGAACCTCTGTAGAACCACACCATATGATCTAAAAACGAAAACAAATATGTACCTTGTCATTAGCTTTTACAATTACCCATTAGTTAGCTATGGTGAGATTTATAAAGATGGGATGGCATTTGTTCATTTAAAATAAACATTAAACACTAAAATAAACACTTGAAAAAAATTCCAACAATGAAGCAATCTCTGTTCAGTTTATTTCAAATTCCTTAAGATCCACTTAAAAAAAACTACGATTTTGGTTAAGTCAATATACTAATCTGGGTGTGATCACAAGAATATTTTTAGCAGATCTAAGAAGCAAAAACACACATTTACACTACTTATGGAAAACTAGGCTTTCACATCAGATTTCAGTCTTCAAAAATCTTCCCCACTGCCCCTTCTCTAAGAACCTAGGAATTCCAATGTTGAAAAAAGAATGCAGGGGCGCCTGGGTGGCTCAGATGGTTGGGCGTCTGCCTTCGGCTCAGGTCATGATCCCAGAGTCCTGGGATCGAGTCCCACATCAGGCTCTCTGCTCCTTGGGAGCCTGCTTCTCCCTCTGCCTCTCTCTCTCTCTCTGTCTCTCATGAATAAATAAATAAAATCTTTAAAAAAAAAAAAAAAAGAATGCACCCAGATTCTGGTTTCTAAAAACCACTCTCCACTAAAAGAAACCAGAATTCCTTGGAGAAATAGCTAATTCCAAGATTGGGGCAAGGACAGCATAGGTGAACCAGAAACATCTAATGGCAGAAAAGAAGAAAGTGCCCAACACGATGGAGGTATTTCCAAAAGGCACGGAGCCAGCTTCAAGGGGCTCCCATTGGCCAGATCTGGTACCATTTGAGTATCAAAGTAAATAAGCACCGCAATGGACTATAATCCCTTGACTAAACTAACAACCCATGAATTCATATTGATAACATATTTGCACAATTTTGAGTTAGTGATTACAAATTACTTATTAATTACAAAAATGAAAAATAGTGACTATATATAGTGGAGAAAGGGAGAATATGATCACTGAGCAAACAAAATTCACATCATCAATAAAGGGCAAACAGACATCATGTCTTTTCACTTGTCATATCTGGAAACAACCCAATATCCCTGACATGGTATCCCAGTCAAAAATGCATAATCTGAAACAAATCTTGAGGAAACATCAGACACATGCAAACTGAGGATCTGTATTCTTCAAAATGTCATGTTATGAAAGACGAAGAGGGGCTCCTGGATGGCTGACTCCATCTGTGGAGCCTGTGACTCTTGATCTTGGGGTCATGAGTTTGAGCCCCCCACTGGGTGTACAGTTTACTTAAAAAAAGAAAGAAAGAAAGACAAGCCTGGGAGACAGTCCCCAATCAAAGATGACTGAGAAGATGACAAATAAATGCCATGTGTGAATAGGAACTGAGTCCTGATCTGGGGGAAAAAATTGCTACAAAGGACATTACTAGGGCAACTGGTGAAGTTGTAATATAGACTGTAAGTTAGATAAACGATTAAATCAGTGAAAAATTTCCTAAAGTGGCAAATCTATGTGGTCATGTAGGACATCCATGGTTCATACAAAATACACACGGAAGCTTAAGAAAGGACATGATATATGCAACCTACACTCAGTCAGAAAAGTGTGTGCGTGTGTGTGTGTGTAGAGAGAATGAACACAAAACCCAACAAAATGTTAAACATGGATGGATGTGAATAAAGGATATACAGGAGGTTCTTTGTACTACTGCAATGTGTAAATTTTGTATTATTCACAATAAAGTTTAAAAAGACGTAATCGGGGCCACCTGGGTGGCTCAGTCGTTAAGCGTCTGCCTCCGGCTCGGGTCATGATCCCAGGGACCTGGGATCGAGCCCCGCACTGGGCTCCCTGATCAGCGGGAAGCCTGCTTCGCCCTCTCCCACTCCCCCTGCTTGTGTTCCCTCTCCCACTCCCCCTGCTTGTGTTCGCTCTCTCGCTGTGTCTCTGTCAAATAAATAAATCTTAAAAAAAAAAAAAAAGGACAATCGGAAAATATCTTTCTTAAACTTCTTTTGGTAGAATGAATGACAAAATTTCAAGCATAACTCTTATTGCACTAGAGTGCTAAATCATAATCCCAAATCAATTGTAGCATATGTAAAATTTATTTTCAATAGCCTTGTTTCAAATTTTCTTTGCAATTTCAAGCAATAGGATCTCACTGCCAAATATGGTTTCATAAGTGGCAAGTTGAGAAGAGAAACTCATTTTTAAAATTTATTACCTTCTTTATTTAGGGATAATTGACATAATATTCACTTCAGGCATACAACATATAATGATATGTTATTTTTAGAAGACACTCATTTTTAATACAGGACTAAAAAGCTCTGAAAGGGAGAACATTTACTGAATTCCTACCACGGGCAATGCGCTTTACATACTTATGTCCCTGAACTTATTTAATATTCATGTCAAAACTCTCAAGTTGTATTATTACTTGACTTAATAGAAAACCTGGGTTTTGAGAGGCTGACCAACTTGTCCCAGGTTATGTAGTGAGTAAATGGCAGTTCTGGAATTTTAATCTAAATGTATTTCAATCCAAATCCTCTGCACTTAATCCTGTACCATTTTGCCTCCCTAGCCTGGAATCTCAACTAGAAAAGGTCAGGGGTTTATATGCCTCAAATCTTGAAAGTTCCCTGGAAACTATTCTATCTCAGGAATCAAAGTTCTATTAATTATAACAGTTGAAAGCTTAAAATACCACCAAGTATTTGTCAATCAAAAGCCAGCAACCTACACTAAGAAACTCGGATTTTTATTTTTATTAAAAGAGAAAAAAGAAATGGTAACAATTCTTTTAAACTAACAGCATGATGCTTTTTTTTTTTTTTTTGCAGGTGCATGTATAAACTCTTGGACTGCCTTTAAAACAAAACCAAAAACACTTTATTTAGCATGATTTAAAATCCCTGTGGAAGGTATCTGCAATTTTGACAAAATTCTACATGTTTCTGAAGATGTAGGTGACCCTCAAGCTCTAGAGACATATTAATTCTCAAGATTACGTCAAACTAGAAATATCTGGCTTGAAATGACTCCAAATGTAAAACCCCTTTTCCATTATTCCAAATACATCCTAAGGAAAAAGTCTGATCTAAAATTTCAGGATCTGGGACGACCGAGTGAGAGAAGGTGGCCTCCTCCCTCAGTTAGCTGCAGTGGAGACAGGCTTGGAATCTTGCTCTACCCTGCTCGAGCTGGGGAACCCCAGCAAAGGCCACTTTGACCTCTGGGCCTCAACGTCCTCATCTGTAAAATGAGGGTAATAGTGCCTGCTCTGCCAAGCTGTTGAGGGAATAAACAAGGTAATAACTCGACACAAGTTAGTTCTTCCCCCACCATGGGTCAGAACATGCTGTCTGCACCAGATTGAGGTAAAATGCACCGAGTAGAAATGCTCTGTACAGACACTGGAACACTCCACTTTTCTCTAAGAACAATAAAAGCTGAGGAAGCACATGGAGGAGGCTGAGGCCAGTACCAGCCTACACTGCAGTGTGCAGACCAGCTCCCACCTTCTTGCAGGGATGGCCCTGGAGGAATTTAGGAGCCGGAGCCAAAGCTGATGGCACAGATTTACTCTCTCTGATCAGACAATTTGTGCGGGGTTGTTGTTCCCTTTTGTTCCCCCTTCCCGGTCCCAGCACCCCCACAAAGTTCCGATTCCACCCCCTCTCGAGAGACGCCCACCCCGCATGTTAGTGTGTGTCCCCAGGCTCCTTCCTCGGCGTGGTAAGGAAGGGGTCCAAGGAACCCGCAGCTTCCCGCAACTCCACAAGCCACCCTTTGAAAGCAGAGTCACAGAGAAAAGCCACTCACTTCTGGCCTTCCTCTGAAAGCTGGCTCTGGGTTTGGTGGGGAAAATCTCTGACCTGCCGGCAAGGTCCCCAGCGGCTCAGGCTGCCCCACCTGCCGCCACGGGCTCCGGCGCCCCGGGACGCACCTGCGGTGCCAAAAGGCCACGGCTGGTGGGGGAGGACGTGTGGGTCCCAGGGTAACAGGCGGAGCAGAATCTTCCCAGAGCTCTGGAATGCTCCGCAACCCCCAAATCCTTTGAATAGGGTAGG